AGGGAGGGACAAAGGATTAATAGGGAAGGATAAAGCCATCTTGTCTAAGCAAGGTTGGGGGGCAAGGAATCCATTCTGGCTTACTAAAAGTTGGAAGGGGGCACCACCGGGAACGGTTCGACTTCCCGGTGGGTTAGCAGGCCGGGAAGGTACCACTTGTTTGGGAACGCCGAGTACCATGCCGGAACGGCCCGGCTTTCACGCTCTTGGAGCGGGAGCGACGGCGGGGCGGTGCTTGGACGCAACCGGCCGCCGCTCCCTATGAATGGTCGCGCCGCGCTGGGTGCGTTTCCGTGACCGCAAGAAGAAGCAGCGGGCGTGACGCGCGCCATTGGCCATTGCACTGGCAAACTGTCGTTTCGCGTCTCGACCCCCCCCCTTCCTTGGTCGTGTGCACAGCTCAGGAGACCGCGGTCCCGCCCGGTCTGCGGTGTCCGTTCTATCGTAACCCCCTTTCTGATTCGGTGTGTGCGTTTTTATTTAAAGCCGTACTGTGGCTCCGGATTTGGATTTATTTTTGGAATTTTGCGCTCGCTGGAACGCGCGCTGCCTCGAGGGAGGGGGGGAAGACGTCAGGCAGCTCTGACTCCTGTGATGAGCGCTTGAACCGAGGCCCCTCCCCGAAAGGCAAGTATTTAGCCACACGAAACCGGACCCCTCCCCACCGCCCCTGGAGCCCTGGCTGTCAGGCTGTCAGGTGCTGTCAGGTGATCTGTCGGGCTGTCGGGCAGCTGTCAGGCACTGTCAGGTGCCTCTGTCAGACCAGCTGTCAGGTGCTGTCAGTGCTGTCGGGTGCTGTCGGGTGCGTGTCTGACAGGCGAGGTGCTCTGTAGCTGTCGGGTGCTGTCGGAGCTGTCGGGTGTTGCTGTCAGACGCTGTCGGAGCTGTCAGAGCTGTCAGGCTGCTGCTGCTGTCAGACGTTGGGCTGTTACTGTCAGGTGCTGTCAGGTGGTGCTGTCGGGCTAGCTGTCGGGGTGCTGTCAGGCTCTGACACACACCAGCCACACTTATGACACTATCAAGAGGAGACCAGCGGCTACCCAGCTGCCCCCCTCCTACAGCGTGATCACGCCGGCGGCGGCCGCCGCCTGGGGAGCGCAGATGGCGGCGCAGGCGCAGGCGGCGGCGGCGGCAGAGACGGCGGCGGCCACCCCCACCCAGACGCCCTAGGCATATGACTGTAGGGCCCCAGAAGGCTAGCTGTGGTAGCTTCATTTGTAGTAGCACAGCCGCCGGTGCTAGAGAGGGGTCCGCAGAGCGGTGGGGAGGGAGGGTTGAGAGAGAGACCCATGACCATCCCATGACTACACATGGACCACACTCACATGTCTTTGCATGTAATAGTTTTGTTATACCCTTATGGGGCCCAAGAAAGAGGCTCTACGGGGTCTGACTGTGTAGGCGTCGGTCTGTGCTGCTGTCGGGCTATCAGAGCTGCTGTCAGGCCACTGTGTGCTGTCGGGCTGTCAGGCAGCTGTCAGGCTGTCACGTTAGGGCCTGACAGCGACGGGTCGCCTCGCCTGTCAGACTCTGCTGTCAGGCTGTCAGATACGTGCTGTCTGACTGTCGGAGGAAGTGCTGTCAGCGCTGTCGGGCTGTCGGGCACTGTCAGGCGCTGTCCGGGGTTTGCTGTCAGGCTGTCAGACCAGGGCTCAGATCGGGTTGCGGGCTAGAGAGCCCTAGCCCTGGGGGGTGCGCGTTCCCCGCGTTCGCAGAGCGGGAAAGGGCCGTAAAGTAAACACGGTTCTCCGAGGGTTGGTTCTGCGCTTTGGGTGTCCCCTAGCGGCGGAACGCCCCCTCTACTCGGAGCTAGTAAACACCAGACACAAGCATGACGTAGACTCCCGACATCGCCACTCAGGGCCCCTCCGCCCGGTCTCCCCACTCCCCACCCCCCCCATCCGAAGGGGCTCCCCTCTCCACCCGGTCCTCCCTCCTGTTCGCTTTCCGATGGTCGGCGTCGGCTGCGGAGCCCGCCTCCCCCTCTTCTGCTTCTTCGGCCGTGGCCCCGCCGCCGTCTCGTCTTCCCTGCCTGATCCCGTTGACTCCGCGGGCGGCCGATCCCGTGCCCGACTCCCCGGGCGAAGGCGGCGGCATTGGATCGCGTCGCCTCCCCTCCCAGATCCTCCCCGGGGGGTCGGCCGGCTCTCTTGTCGACGATCGCGCCCCATCCGCGTCT